GCCAATTGAAATTCTTTTTCGGTTGAAGAATTGAAAAAATAGTTGAGAAAAAAAGTTTTTTTAAATGTTTTTCTTCGTTTTATTTCACTTCACGCCATGGAAAGTACTAAAAGTGTATATAGCGTCTGGTATTGTAAAAGTTGGATTAATTGGTGAACTCAATTTATATTGGGAGGCATTTTTTCTCTTCTTACACTTGTTTTAAGTGCGCAAAATATTGCATTTCAATTATCTTAAATTGACCAAATTGGCAATTTTCAAACAACCGTAACTTTACGAAAAATAATCACAGGTGAAATATCTTTTGAAATTTGAGCTAAAGATAACGATATATCTTAGAGGTACAAAAATCCGTCCTCTAACAAGTCCAAAAATGACTGAATGAAAAAAAAAGATCACGCAAAGCATAAATTTTCAGCAGTTTCTTCGAATGAAAGAATAAAATAAAATTAAAGGGAGCGTCCTTGTTGCAGAATCTGCCTACAATTCTCAAAAACACCTTGTGATCTCGTTTTGTTGAATCGGGTAGATTGGCGTACCCATTTTTATCCAATACATACTATCTGCTCTGCCTTTTTTGGTTATTTTCAGTATCTATGAAGCGTGAAAGTTAATTAGTGAGTTTGCCATTTTCGTTTTCTCCGGATTATTAATTGGATTAGCTTCGATCTTGTTGGTATTTTTAGGGGGTAATTACTTTAGTTGGGACATATCATTTGCTAATTGGACGCTCAGTTTAAAATCTGAGAGTTGCATTCGATAGCCCTCAGACTCAACAGAACTGCATTAAAATTGTGGAAAAAGCGGGGAAGCAAAATCGTTTTTGGTCAGATATTGTCTAAAATGACGGAATCAGTATATTTATGTATACACGCTTCCTTTCCATTTAAATTCCTTTAATCATGGAAGCAAGTTTTTTCAATTTAACAAGCGAGCGAATATTTTTAACGTATTATTGGTCGCAGGTAGATCTTGCTTAAAACTACAAAATTGAAATTTTCAAAATATTTTAATTCAAGCTTTGCTGCGAACTTTGAATTGAAATACTCAATTTGTCTCAACATATAGTTATGACAGCTTTTGTTCTACCAAAAAAGTAGGACTGATTCTTCTGTTATCCTTGAAAACAGTATTTAAAACAAACTTGGTTTTTTTCGGTTCTATTCATTTTATGATAAAATGTCGCAAGTTGTGGAGTTCATTTTTGGCGACGATAGAAGTCTATCAGAAGGTAAATTTCACATAACTTTTTATAAATTCATGGATCAAGCTTTTGGTCGTTTGAGGTCCAGTTTTCCGCGAAAAACAATCTGGTAGCGAGTATTCGTTATAAGCCTGGGCTCGGACTCGATGAGAATTTCAAAGTCTACAACCCATTTGCGGACTTTAACTCAGCAGATCTATGGTCAGGTGAAAAATTTCAAAAAAATGATATAAGAGTTTCTAAAATTTGATATTTTTCTGAAAATCAATTCACCACACGCCATATAAAGTACAAAGTGATAGATTTCGCTTCTAATAAAAGAGCAATTATGGCGGATAAGCTTCCTTCGACCAACTTGGAACGATTTCTAAGACACATTAAATATCCGCTTACGCGTTGATAGCGCTAAACATATCTCTCGTTAATTTTTCTCAAGTTGGCCAAAATGACAACCCTTAAACCCCATAATTTTACAAAAATGATGAGGTGAAGTTTTTTTTTAAGCTCGGGGCATCATTTTTACTTTTTCAATAATGTCAAAAAATTCCGTCAAACATAGCTAGTTAAAAAGTTGAAATCGATCTGAAGCAAAATGTTCCGTTACTTTCGTTGCTTTAATAAGACCCATTAGCTTACCTTTTTAATAAGACCAATTAGCTTGCCTCAAATCAAATTTGGAGCAATAATGACTGCGGATAACTTTCCACGCATAAATAACTCGCGTATTGAAACAAAAAATCAAAGCAATATTCAAGCAACAAGCGGGACTTTCGATAAGTGCAAGCAAACTCGCTTGGTTTTCACCAGACGTCCAGAGCAATGCCCGAAGCCGTCATCTTCTCTGAATATGGTCTGAATAATAAAAACAGGCCGAGCATATATTTGCCTCACTTTCTTCGAAAGTCGGAACAATGAATGGAAGAATGAGCATACTTCAATCCAGTTTGGAACAATTTTTGATTAAAACTCCTCTTACGCGCAAAGAGCGCAAAATTTAACGCGCCAAAATTGTTTCAAATTGGCCACCTTGGCAATCTTTAATGGAACAAACGCCGCGTCAAAAAAGGAGTAAACGCCGCGTCAAAAACTAGATTGAGAACTTGAGATTTTAAAAGCGACCCCCTCAAAAACAGCGGGATTTTGGAACTTCCCTATAACATTTTAATCTGTTTATTTTAGATTTTCAAATTTTCATGTGTTTTTAATTACTGATTAAATTTATTTGGTAGGAGGAAAGTTTTTATCAGACTGGAGGGGGTTAATAACGAAACTTGAAAGTAGGATATATTTCAACGTTTTTGTTCAGATTCTGTTGTTTAACACTCCGACCAGTAAATCAGTTATTTTTATCGAGCTGACAAAACGATATTTCAATTGCTATGCTGCGATATTTCAATTGCTATGCTGCGATATTTCAATTGCTATGCACCGGAAAAGGTTGAGATTCAAAAAGAAAATGTTTAGCTGTTACGCAAAACGAAGCTGCCGGTAGCAGAAAGCCTTGAATTTTTTGACTGCCCTTCAACGTCAGTGAAATAGTTTTTTCTAAAAACATTCTTTATGATTGCTGATGATTTGAAAACGACACATAAAATACAATTTGTGTTTTTAGATACTTGTTTTTCAAAAAATTTCCCAGTTACGCTTTGTAAAAAACAAAGCGATTAATTTCACATCTAACAATGCATTATAAAAAACCAAACAGCTTGCCATAAATCAATTCGGAGTACCTTCTGAGCTGGATTGAGAACCGCTTATGAGTTATTAGAACAAATTATGTTGTTCGGTATTTTTCCTGTTTGGAGAAATTGGCAGTTTTTAATCTCATACTTTTTTACGAAAAATAATCATCTTCAAACATCTTTCAACATTCCGGATCAAAATGTCAACAATTTTCAAATAATACATAAGTTTTGTCATTTAAACATTTGTATGAGAAAAAAAACACAAAGAAAAAGTTGTGCTCAACTTTTTGTTCATTTTTTTCAACAGTCAAAACAATAGTTATTTTAGGTTAACTGATCGCGTTGTTTTTAACGGATTTCGTGAGCATTTAATTTATCCTCATAGCAAAGGTAAAACTGTTAAAAATCTTTTGTTTTTGCATCGAAACACGACTAACAAACATGAATAATTAACAGAAAATGTTTGCAAATCTTGTGAAACAACCCATTATAGGCCAAAGCACTTCGCAACTCAAAAAACTTGCTCTCATTTTGGCTCAAATATCTGACACGCATTTTTGGCTGATGGACCATAAAAATTGTTGAACGCGCCTTGATACGAAAACTTACTAATTTTGAGAGCTAGCCAAAAATCGCGATGTTTCAATGGAAACTTTCCAAAAAATGCCTGCAACGTGACTAGCAGTTTTTGATTAAAAATTGTTTTCATTGTGACTTTAAGACCTCATCAATTTTTTTTTCGGTTTAGCTTAAATCGAATCAAAAACTTTTTTTAATTATAGAAACATCTCGTATTGAAAAAATTCTAAATCCATCCGTTTTGTTTTATGAAAACTAGACTGATGTTTATAGATTTCTTTCTGATCAGAAGTTCATCAATTTGTTTTAGTTTCAGAACCTTAGCAAAATGTCGAGTTTTTTAACCAATTGATGAGTTTAAAACTACTCTTTATTTTAAGTTCAGCCAGTTTTAATACTCTGTAACAAAACATTGTAAATTGATCTTGTATAAAAGTTGTAACCTTGTTTGTAGTTCTTCGTAAATTTTTATGGACAATGAACAAAACTTTTAAATTATTTTTCTGTTTGTTGATTTTTTGTTTGTCCTCTCAGGTCTACACTTCTGCCTGGTCCAATCAACTTGATTTTTCGAGAAGCCCTTTTGTCAGAAAAGTAATCTAAGACAGCAAAATATTTTCTACAAAAAAGTTTCGGACTTTTCATATTAAAACTGACGTTGAAACTGAACCAAAACACAAAAGAAAATTTAAAAAAAAACTGTAAAGTTATTTCAGAATAATATATACAGTTTTCAGAAACTTTCAGCCTTTGCTTCAACTTTGGTGTGACACATAAAAATCAACTCACAAAAAATTTGAGACCGTTTCTGAGTTTTTTACCAATCAGAAGAAAATGTTAATCTAGTTTTTAGTAGCTGGACTAATAATTCGAAATCTTTGAGTACTTGTATTAAAAAAATCAAATTTTGTGCTCCGATTATTGATAGTGGGGATAATCTTTGCAATCATAATCAAATATAACAAAGAATCATCAGAGTGCGTCGGCGTATATGTCATATTTAACCTTCTTAGTCAAAAATCGAGTGTCAAAATGTTCAAAAATTTTCTCACATGGGCTGGAGTTTTTGTTTTTATTTTAAGTTTGGGCAAGTAAAGCGAATGAATAGATTTTATTTAAAAACCAGTTTTATTTAAGAGCTCTAATAAAAAATTTTGCGTTCTGTTTGCTCTCTTGTTCAAACTTGCTACCCAAGGTTAAATTTAAGTTTTTAAGCTTAATATAATCCTTATTCGGCAGAAAAATTGAAAAATCAAAAAAACAACTGTAAACAATTTGACATTTTTATGGATTTTCTTGTTGGTTTTTTTTCGTTGGTTTTTTTTGTTGGTTTTTTTTTCGTTGTTGGACCACAAACGTAGTGAATTTTGTCAAATTTATTTTATATGCCTTCATCTAAATTTTATTTAATTTTGAAATCATTCGAGCTCATTAAAATCTTAAACGTTTTGTCCGGAATTTCTCTGGTTAGAGCACAGACCCTGGCTATCCTTATTTGTTCGACATACTAATTGTGTTCGGTTGTGTTTCAGCTTCAATGCGTGACAAACAGAGCCAGGCACATGCCAGCTACAGACTGGGATTCAGACGGTCTCTGTTTGAGAAGAGGAAGCAGTTGTGCGACCTCGCGCTCATCCTAGCCGCACTGGGCATTGTGTTGATGGTGTTGGACAATGAGTTGTACACGTTCCAGTGCCGATACAGCGATGATCCAGTTAGTTATAAACGCAATTTATATTACACATTTTTGATTTTTAAAAAAAACTTATGTTTTGGGCTAGCTAATTTGATATACTTTTGAAGGCGAAAATAAAGGGCCATGATTTCCGTATAAGTTTAGCAAGCACTAAGCGTATATGAAAAGATTTCCCTCAAGTTTTCAACAATAGTATTGAACAATTGGCACGATTCGATAAACCATTTTATTCGCATCCTTGACATCCTTTGCATTTAATCGCACTCAAGAGTTTATGTCATTGACCGAAAAAAGTCAAATATCAAACTGTTTTTAGATTTTTTTTCAAATAGTGGGAATTTTTGATGAACTTTTGTTGATGTCAATTATGCGATTAAATTTCTGTACTGATGTGTTTAAATTGCTTACATTTCTGTAATTACTTTTCTGCTCTGATGACTAGTCAATTACTAGATGATTAGTGATTAAATTACTAGACAGCACATTAGAGAAAGGTAACAGAGATTGATGAATTAGGATTGTGTTTCTGTGTAATTAGGAGCACAGTGTGTACTGGAGTGGAAGTCTGATAGTGATCAAATTGAGCATCAGTCTCACCACCCTCATGCTAGTGGCCAGCATCATCGCTTACCATGCCAGAGAAATACAGGTACCCCCACCGTGTGAAATATTACGACTGCTCGTAGCAATGTCCTTTTAAGAATCTGATTGATAAATATCTGATTTAATTTTGGGCTCAACTATTAAAAAAAGGTGATAATGAGTTTATAAAAGTAATATTTTTTACTCTTTAATAAGGGATATTGTAAAAATATCCTTAATAAAGAGTAAAAATATTACTTTTAAAAACTCATTTTCACAAGTTTTTTTAATATAGTGCTGATATAAATTATCCGATAAAACGAACAAAACTTGAATTTTCAAACACGTTTTTCTCAAATTGGGTTAAGATTAAACATAAAATGAAGAGAACAAAAGTTTCCCAGAATTTAAACAGGAGTTATGTGGTGGTGCATTTGCGTCTCGAAAAATCTCAACCAAAACTTTACCCCAAAAATGGGTCATTTTGATTTGGTTTTTTTTCTTCAAATAATCAAGAATTACGCTGGAACTACTTTGTTAAATGATGCCAAATATATATCACAAAAAACCTTCTACACATCCCAACAAATTTCAATGGATAATAAAGCTCCAAAACTTTGAGTAAATATTTTAATTTTTTTTTTGAGAATAGATTTTGGGTTTTATACAGTAAAAACCACATTTCTTGACATTCAAGGAAAATTATTTTTCGTTTATACAAGTTTTTTGGAGATTTAATCCTTCTAGAACTTTATTGGGCTGTGCAGAAGGCTTCTTGTGATATATATTTCTCATCAATTAGTAAATTAGCTTCAGCGTAATTTTTGATTAATCGAAAAAAGCCCAAATTACCCATTTTTAAGGCAAAATTTTGTTTGAGAACTTCGGAGAAAAAAATTGTACCATATTAGTTCTGATGAAATTCTTCGCAAATTTTGTTCTTTTTCTTTTTGTCTAATCTCAACCCAATTTGGGGAAAACTTGTTTGAAAGTACTGGTTTTATTTTTTTCCGGATAATTTAAATCAGCACTGTAGTTCAGCCAGCATTTAAATCAGAAACTTATCAATCATATAACCGAAAAAGCATTGCTACGAGCAGTCCTAATATTAAGCATTGAAACTAATAAATGTGCAAAGTGGTGAACATCGTTTGCTCTCACAGAAACATCATTTTTTCTACTAAAAATTTTAGTTTGAGCACAAAATTCAGTCTACTAAAAAAAAACGATTCATTCGGGCTTTTTTGAAACTATGTTGAAGAAATTTTTGTTCTGCAACCAAGAAAAATTTAGTTACACAAGTTTCAACCGTTTTCACATTATTTATGACGAAACACCTTTTTAAGCAGTTCTACAATACGTTTGAAGTTTGTATGAGAAGTTTTTTCATAAACTTTAGTTTATTGAACTCTATGACTACTGTTTTTGGTGTTTGGAGGTTAATACGGATCTCTAAGATAGACTGAACCGTAAATGATGATAAAATGAACTGAAATCGTAAAATTTTTGCTTAATTAACCTGATCCCCACCAGTTCATACGCAAACTTTCTATAATAAAAAACCAAGGAGATTTTTTATACTAACTGTTCGACCTTTGAAAGTGAATTGAACTTGGTGTTTTTTTCCTCATAATTCATAATATCACTAATATTAAAATGTCCAAATAAAAATTTTTTCTGCCTCGGGAAGAACCTCCCAACAATTTTGGCTTCCATTCCAATTTGGAGCGGGTAAAACGAGCGAGTAAGCAAAAACTTCTAAAAAATTTTGAGAAAGCTTGCTTTTTTAGCTTTGAACGAGAACCATTTTAAATTTGTAATTTTAATAAGAATTTTTTCAACTGGTTTTTCAATTAGATTTTCAAACAGCGTACAAAATACCAATAGAAAAATAAAAGCATGTTTTCAATTTTTTTTTTTCAAAGAAAAGTATGATCGGAAATTTCTATCCTATTTGCTGCCAATGATTCTAGCCTAATTTATATTAGTGATCGGTTACCATTTGCTTTGACCTGCGCTTTCAGTTCGGATGTTTTTCTCAAAGATTTATCACGCTGAACGACAGGGAAAAATAGGACAGTTGAGCTAGATAATGGAATGAAAACATTTGTGGAATCTGCTAAAAATCATTCTAACTGTCAGAAGTACTTAAAAAGAAGTTTTTGAGTCGAAAGAGTCGTGTAAATATAAGTTTTGAAATCAGCTTTTTTTGTTGGATCAACATTGGATGAACCTTTTCTCCCTTATAAAAAAAGCAAGACATTTAACGATAGTTTATCATAATAAAAACGAAAATTGTTTTAGCTGTTCATGGTGGACAACTGTGTGGATGATTGGCAGATAGCCCTCACGTCAGACAGAATCAGTCAGATCACAGCAGAGATAGTCGTCTGCTCCATCCACACTCCCCCCATTAGAAACATGAATGAAGATTACGTCACATTTCAACTACTGTTGTCTACTTTGATGTTCTCCCGGCTGTATTTGATAGGCAAGAAATTGATCCCTAATATTAAAAATCTCTTACGGAAACGCCAAATAATCATGAACAAATATATTCAATTCTAAATATTCTAAAGACGACTTCGGCGCCAATATGTGTTTTTTTTCAGGATTTTTTCAGAACTTGTTTTCAGAACGTTTTCAAAAAGGGCTCAAAAACGTCATTTTTTGAACCTGTTTTTTTTCAAAAAATTGCATGCGGCGCAGAAAATTTTTTCAAAATAGGGTTTTTATAGTGGTCTGGTAGCGGTCCGAAAAGCAATTTGGTTAAACTAAAAAAAGATCAACAAAAACTTTGAAAAATCCTTCGCTTCGAGAAAATCCTAGATCCGCCCCTGGTTATGATTTTCGGCGCATCCGAAAACATTGAAAGAGCAAAAAACTTGAATCAGAAGGAACACAAACAATTTCTTTCGAATTTTTTTTGCGAAACATATCATTTATGAAAAAAAAAGTTTTCATTAATTGGATTTTTCGACCACTACGAAATTTTTCCTGCATATCATGTTTGTTTAAAAATTGCTTGAAACTTTTTTTGTATCTGCATCGATCGATTGTGCTCAATTTCTATAAACTTGAATTATTCTGAAACTGAAACTCACTGATCCCGTTTAATCCCCTTTATAGGTCGTGCAATGCTTCTGCACTCGAAGCTGTTCACAGATGCCTCCTCCCGTAGCATAGGGGCCCTGAACCGGATCAACTTCAACACTAGATTCGTGATCAAGACCCTCATGACCATCTGTCCAGGGAGTGTCATGATGGTACTCACTGTCTCCCTCTGGTTCATACTCAGCTGGATCATGCGGATATGCGAACAGTCAGTAGTAGCAGTTTTGTTTTTACTCTTGTTCCGCTTTCTAACCCTTTTGGGACAAAAATTTTTCGGGCTGTCTCAGTTTCTTTTTTGAAATCAAATTAAATTGAGAAATTGTGTGGACCATACAATAAATTGGTTTCACCACGTCTGTTAGTAACAAACTACTGAGGATCAAAGTCACTTGAATCATGGGGATATGCAAACAGCTAGTACGAAATTGTTTTTATATATATATATATATATATATATATATATATATATATATATATATATATATATATATAATCTTGTTTGGGAAAGCCCTTCGAGGCATCTTAGTCTAATTTTTAAGTGGGTGGAAAAGTGGAAAGTGTAAGCGTATCATCTACTTTTTTAGCAAGACCACAAAAACCTAAAAAAATTGATTGAAATATTTTTTATCACGTCTATTTTCACTGAAATGATTAAATTCAAAATAACTTGAGCCATGACTAAATGCATATACTAAATCGGAAACTTTTTTTAGTTTTGGTGAAAGTGAATTTTCAATCTAATTTAAGTGTATGCGAGCAAAAATCTTCATTACGAGGCCAAACTGTGCATTCTGTGCATTGTAAGTGGATTCCACAACCAGCCATATTCAGATTGGTCGCGGAATCCACATCATTGCTACTTTTCTTTGATCTTCTTTGCTGTTATGGATTCCACAAACAAATACTTAAAACACTGAGCACTCAAAATCGATCCAAAAATAGACGAGTTTGCGGGATCCGCAACCGTATATGGGGAATTTACAACAATTTGTGGAATCCACAATCAAACCATAAGACATATGCATAGTTAAATTGAGATGTTGTGGTTTCAAACTGTAATTGGAATCCGCAAATTGTAAGTGGAATCCGCATTTTGTTTGCGGTTTTCATTTACACATATGTATATATGTAGTATCATTTAAATATATATCTTTTATTACATGATTTGATTTCACTAGAACGGAAATCTACTAAATCAGTGTTTGGGATTGATGAAATCCCAATTACTGGCCAGTATTTGGAATCGATGAAATCACAAACACTGGCCTAATTTGGTATTATGCTGTGCGTTCTAAACACTCTCAACCCAATGACTCCGTATAATGAATTTATTCGCTATTGTGTTTCCAAAACACAATCTTAAAAATTGTTTGCTGGGATATGTATTCAAAATAATAAAAGATGACATCCGCCGATTTAGTTAACCAATGTTTTAAGACTTGTTCGTCGATTCAGCTTACAATGATTAAGTCTTCGCTTTTAAATTCCGCATTGGTAAAAGTAAGAATTCTAGCTCTAGCTTTTAACTCTTCATATGCAAGTTCAGTAATGATTAAAACTCGAAATCCACTTACACTTTGCGGAATCCGCTGACAATTTTGGATTCCGTATACACTTTGCGGAACTCACTTACAGTTGCAGAATTCAGAAGAACTAGCTATATTCGCTTGTTGCGGAATCCGCGATTCAACAAATGTGCCGACAAACTTTACCTTACACTCAATTGTACGCGTAATCCACGGAACCTACATTGTGGAACATATTCAAAGATTATTTTCTGGAATCTAGAAACATACAGACACAAAACAGTTTGGCCTCGTAATATTGAAACAAAATTGCAAATGTTTTTCATCGCTGGTTTTAGGAGTGTGTTTATTTTATTGGAGTTAAAGCATCAAATGGAGTTAAAGTTCAAATCGTCCGCGGAAAGAAGGTGCCACGTGTCAGATTGGACATTTAAACATTTTTTTGCACTTTTTGTGTTCTTCAACATTACTTGCACTCTCTTATTCTAAATTTTTTATACTATGGAAGTTTATGAACAGCTGATGTTCCTTGTATGGGTTCGAACAGTCAACACTTTTCCGCAAATCAGTCCAGATTTTTGCTCCGACTTTCGAAGAAAACAAATTATTTATGCACGGTGTGTTTTTTTATTCAGTCAATTTTCGCCGATCGAAATAAAAGTTTTGACGAAATATTTTTCATACCCCATGAAATAAATTTATCAACTTTCTGAGTTCAAACTTAAAAAGATATTTGAGCTCCAATTTTTTTTGTAGTTCTTGGGTTTAAAAAAATTGCAAAATTGGCAATGTTGTGGACTAAATTATGCGCGCTTCGATTTTTTTTCCTTTTGCTGAGAGCCTAATGCGATTTGTTTATGCGTGGAGAAACATCTCACACAACAAAATCGCTCCAAGTTGATTTGAGGCTAGCTAGTCAGATTGGTCTATTAATTTTGAGCGACTCAACATTTCACGCTTTGTTTTCAATATTTTCTTTTCCCAAAACTTATTCGATATGAAGTAAAGGACAGTCGGAAAATGCAGGGCTCTGCCCTGATTTACGAGGAGTCTGGTTTATTTCCTAGTTTCGTTTCGATAAGTTTTTGTAACGAGTTTTTTATCGAAAGTAACCGAATATTTGTGCTGGCGGTGGGGTTTTTTTTATCAGAAAAATTTCGACTTTTTAACTAGCCATTTTTGACGGAGTGTTTTTTATGTCATTCAAAAGATATTGTTTTATTGAGCTTGAATTTGAAAAGATAATTCCCCTGTGATCATTTTTTGTAAAATTATGGTTGTTTGAAGATTACCATTTTGGCCAATTTGGGACAATTAACGCGCTATATATGTCCTGCTACTAACGCACAAGGGGAGATTTAATCCGTCTTAAAAACTGTTCAAAGTTGATTCAAAGAAGCTTATTTGCCATTATTGATTGGTTACAAGGAGCGAAAATTATCCTGTTGTACTTTATATGGCGTGTGGGGGGATGATTTTCACAAAAATTCCTAAATTTTAGAATAAAAAATTTCATTTTTTTTTACATCAAATTGTTATTATTTCTCCTTAACTTTAAAAGACAATCGGAACTTTCAGGGTTTTGCCCTGATACGAGCAGTCTTGTTTGAATGTGTATCCGATTAGAGTATCCCTGGACAATAACTACCTATAACACGAAGCTCAGTATCTTTCAGAAAAACTGAAACTTAAGATACGAACTAAAAAAGAGCTCTGAGTTAACAAAAGGAAAAAAACGGTTGGTATCCATTTCAAGCAAACACAAACGCAAACACAAACGCAAACACAAAACATGGAAATCAAAAAAAAAACTCCGAAGAAGGGTTCAGGCTTAAAACCCATTCATTAAACTCATCTTTAGTTTCCATAGCTTTTTTTTACCTCCATACAGGCAGCGTAAAAGTTTCTCATCTAGATTTTTTAGAAAAAAATATGTGGATCGAATCAAGACTTAAATTGTGGCACACGACTCTTTCATATTTAGTAGTGGCATACTAAAAAGACTTATCAATTTAGGAAGAGATTAAATATGTTAATGGGTCAGTCACTTGGCCCGATTATGCTTAATATAGCGTGATATGAAATTACTCAATTCCAAACAAAATTCGGCATCATGTCCCAAAGACTATGAACAAAATCAAATTGATTTTGGTCGATGGTTACCGTACTGGCAAGAAAAAAATTTGCAATCGATTTTGAACAGATAAGTTATATTTAGCATAATCGGGCTAAGTGACTGACAAAATAACATATTTAAACTCGATAGGTCTTTCTAGTGAATGTAGCAACTAACTTAAGATATGGATTTGATTTGAGTTTTCCTTCTCCACAGAATATATGCAGAATGTATTCATTTTATTTTCCAAAATTGCGCCTAGATGTTTACAAGGAAAATGTCATTTTGAAAAAACTGTAAATAATTTTTATTTTCATTGTCGAGAGGAAACGTATTTAAAAACAAATTAAAATGATTGACTTGAACCTAAAATTTTGCCACAAAACACTCAACGCGAGTGACTTTTCTAGCTCGGATGGAGATTTTCTGAGTAAAAAAATTTAGCTCATCTTTCGAAACGAAAGCAACATTTGAGTTTGAGTTAAATGAATTTTGTTTGAGTTACAATGATTTCACTACTCTGCCCATATCCATTTAAATTGATTTAATTCTTCTTTTTGGCAATAAAATCAATTTTTGTTTCTACCGCAAAACTTTCAGAACCTATCGTAAATCGATGAAATTATCTAAATGGGGCTACACTAAATGTAATTTTTTACATTATATTATCTATATAAAATCGATTTTTATCTGAAGTTTGTCAGTGCAGATACGGGTTATTTTTTTCTGGGTCCTTGTTTCACACAATCTTTTCCAAATGCGGGTTGAACACCGTCGTGCTTTCCTTTCCAGATCAGCAGCCGGGGATGGCGAGAAGCCACTTCTGGCTACTTTCCTCGATGCCATGTACTTAGTGGGCATCACTTTCTTCGCCATTGGCTACGGGGACTACTACCCTGTCACCTACTGTGGGAGAGGAGTGAGCATCACGTGTGGACTCATGGTGAGAAGATCTCCTCGAACATTCTAGAAAGATCTGATCGAACATTCTAAAAAGATCTGATCGAACATTCTAGAAAGATCTGATCGAACATTCTAAAAAGATCTGATCGAACATTCTAGAAAGATCTGATCGAACATTCTAAAAAGACCTGATCGAACATTCTAGAAAGATCTGATCGAACATTCTAGAAATATTTGATCGAATATTCTAGAAATATTTGATCGAACATTCTAGAAGTTTCAATAAGCGTAATAAAGGCGAAGACCTAGAGAATATTCTAGAAGGTGGTAAATTTGTAAAATAAGAGAGAAGATCCTAACAAAATATTTTGTACGATACACAAGGTGCAGCATAGGTGTCAATATCCAAAAAACACTCTAGAATGAACATTGAGAGATTCATAGGCAATCATTCATGAAACAAGAACGGACTTGAAGAAGGAACCGAACTAGTTCGGGTGTCTCTTAGTTTTTTTTTGTTTTCCGCGCACAATCAGAACTACAAATGATCAAGCTGGGTTGAAAGCCATTCCTATCGTTATTTGAACAGAAATCAAGTATTTTCAAAGAATTGTCCTTTTATCGATAAAACGGGTTGAAACTTTTTGAGTCTTAGGTCAATTAAGTTTTTTTGAGCCTGATAAACATTTTTCTAAAAAGTCGAATTGAAAGTATTTTTTCTGCAATCTGATTGGCTAGCGTTAGCCAATCAAATTTCAGCCCCAAATAAATATGTTTTGTTCACAATTTAGAGTCTTATTATAAGTATAAGCTGGAATTGCCAAAAAAAGAACGTTTGGTGCAATAAGGATTTGCATTTCATATAAGCTGCACAGTTTTACGTAGACAAACAAATAACACAAAAAAACTCTTGGAAAAAACTACATTCACTGCTCAAAATTTGGCCTTGTCAGAAAACGGCTAAAAAATAAATTGTTTGTTTCTGTTTTGACCCAATCAATTATGCAATAGTGTTTTGTTCTTTTTTTTGCATTTATACATTGAACAAGACTGCTCTTATCAGGGCGAAGCCCTGAATGCTCCGACTGACTTTTAAGGTTTATGGAGCAGTAACAACATTAAAAAAATTAAATGTAATGAAGCAAAATGAATCATTACGAGGCCAAACTGTGCATTATGTGCATTGTATGCGGATTCCGCAACACGGACGCTCCCTTTGTTCTTCTTTTGTTCTTAGCTTTCCTTTGATCGTTCCGACAAAATTTTCACATGTTTAAAGACTTGTCTCTGAAATCCAGGAACATACACAAAACTGTGCGCCTATCCAGTGCACAGTTTGGCCTCGTAATGATGTTTTTTTTCTATAGGTGAAATTTTTTATGAAACTCATCCCCCCTCACGCAATTCAAATTACAAAAGAATAGATTTCGCTTCTTGTACCAAATCAATTAATGCAAATAAGCTTCATTCAACCGATTTGGAACGATTTCTAAGACGGATTAAATCTCCGCTTACGCGTTATTGACGCGAAATATATCGCGCGTTAATTGTCCCAATTTGGCCAAAATGACAATCTTTAATTCCACATAACTTTGCGAAAAATGATCACAGGTGAAATATCTTTTCAAATTTAAGCACAGGGTAAGAAAAACTTTTGAAAGATTTAAAAAACTTCAGTCAAAAATGCCTAGTTAAAAAGTCGAAATTTGTCTGAAGGAAAAAACCCACCCGAGCACAAATATTCCGATACTTTCGTATCAAAATCGGAACAATAATACAAAATCACATATTTAGGAAACTCCAGCGAATTAGGCGATATGACCCAAATTTAGCGACTAAAGCGAAAAAGCTGGCTCATTATAGAGCAAGGAGAAAGCTCGAAGCTTTCTTTGAAGCACTGAAATGTTAGTTCTGCTCCCGCAATTTTAGTTTTTAGAGCCTGTTTAGCCCCTCTTTGTGAATAAACTTTTTTTCTAAAATCGAAACCTTTCTGCAAAAAAAATATCAAAAAAGTGTTTTATGATCTTATGTTGTTTTACAAAAAAAATGATGTCAAATTTGCTTTTTTCAAATTTAACTTTCTAATATGCTTAAATTGTTTACCTAAATTCTTCAGATACTGCATCAAGTTAAAACTCTCTCGCCCTCTTCCTCCAGGAAACCAAACTGATATATTCCTCCAAGCTTTTTACTTGAAATAAATTTGCTGAGCACTGCTAAACTATCTTGGTCACATATCATTTGATCATACGACGCAAAAAAGTGACACTAATTTGAAGAAAAAATCGTGGTATTTTTAAGTATATATTCGGGAAATTCTTCGCTACTTTTATTTCTGATGAAAACAGTCCTAAATTTATCGAAATTCGTTCGGCATACTTTGTTGTTTTTGTGAGAGTGTTTTGTTCCCGCACTGATATTTCTTGTGTTAATATCGATGTGAGGAGAAAAGGATTGAAGTAGCAGCGGGACTTGGCATGGAGTAGTGAAAATGAGAATGAACGGTGTTCTTTCGGGTTCGATTTTTACAGGAAGCTATAAAAATTAACTTTTTTTTAAAAAAAAAACTCATTTTTCATAGATTTTATGTTGAAAAGAGTAATCGATTAGGTTGAAAATAAACATGTATTACAATCGATTATAATTGATTTTGATGGGTTTTTATTATTTTTTTTAAAATCCATTACCTTGTTTAAGTTTGATACAATATACGATTATACAACCAACATTCTAGTCAACAAAAATCCATTATAATCGATTTTTATCCATTAAACTTTGAAATACGATTTAGGTAGCAGTTTGAATTTCAAAATTTATTACTCGAAATGGGCAAAGAATTTTGTAGTAGTTTGGAAGTTCAAAATTGGGTGCTTGAAAAAGGCAACTTTATACTTTGAGAAGTGAATTAGACAAAAGTTTTGTCTGTTTTCAGGGTGCTGGATGTACTGCGATGGTGGTTGCAGTTCTGGCGAGGAAACTGGAGCTGTCGAGGGCAGAGAAACACGTGCACAATTTCATGATGGACAACCAGCTGTCAAAACGGGTGAGTAATTGCAGTTTGATAGGACGGGGGAAGCGAGAGAGATGACTAATTCTGATCAAGGGTATTTTTGATCTACCCAAATTGGTTTTAAAAATGCTAATCCATCACAATTTGAACAAAAGTTACAATTTTTTAAGTTAAGAAAATATTGATTACGCATTTCAATTTTTAAATACAATTGGTGAGGTAATTTTAAAAGAAAAACAATTGTTTCTTTGAACAAATTGAAACCAAAAGACTTGATGAATTTCGATGCCTTCGTAACTTATCATGAGTAGTTTGTGTATGTAGTTGAAGTGTGCTGCGGCTAATGTGCTGCGGGAGACTTGGTTCATCTACAAGAACACCAAATTGGCAAAGAAGCTCAACCACAGGGTCATCAGGAAACACCAGCGCCTTTTCCTCAGTGCTATACACACGTAAGGACCATACGCCATTAAGAACCACACACATGTGAAGGCCATTTACGCGTAAGGACCATACACCATTCAGTGCCACACACGTAAGGACCATACACCATTAAGAACCACACACATGTGAAGGCCATTTACGCGTAAGGACCATACACCATTAAGAGTTACACACGTAAAGGCCATACACACGTTAGAGACATGCACACGTGAAGTCAACACAGGCAAGAGCCATGCCTACAAATACTTGTATGGCAGCACACATACAAGTAGGTGTTGAACTTCCGACCTATCTTCAAACACTTGAATGGACCTTGTTTTGCCAATTTTGGCGTGCCAGTTATTATATAAATTCTCATAGCAACCATAACTAATTAGATTAGTTTTTTTCTAAACTTTTTTCAAAAAGTAATTTTTGATGACGCATTAAACCGTTTACTCATTCTGGTAAATATTTCAACATTGAAAGCTATTTGGTCTTATTAATTCGTTGCCAGACTGGAACCTGATCTAAACTATATTTTATGATTGGATAAATTAAATGTTTTACCAATGTAAAGTATTTAATATTAACCAATCATGATCCATCTAACTAACAACCCACTTATTTGTAAGTGCTGAAGTTACTTGTAATTTCAGCACCAGAGAGATTTGAATTTAACTTAGAAATTAGTTGGACTCTCCCGAGCACTTCAGCAGCCGCAATAAACCAGTATACCCTAGATCTATTGAGCCTAGCAGAGACTAGTTAAACAACCTGAGACTAGATAGTATAAGAGTAAGATTAGGATCGGTATTAGACTAAGAAGTTGCACGAATCTATCCGGCCGAAAATAAGATAGCGTGACGAGCAGACGGTGTACCCTATCCGAAATTACTCTATGAGTTATACACCCCAGTCATAACTCATCTGGTGCGACCATAAGTCTCGAACAAGACCTTACTAGATTAGAATTAACCAAAATTAGATTAGAAATTAGACAAAAACATTTACAAAATGTTATACGACAATAATTTAATTGAAATGTCTCTCCGACTCAATAGATCAGAGCCAATATTCCGAACCATAATAGAACTACCCGGAATTGGAAGAAGACATCGAACCAAAGACGACATACGACAAAGTAGAAACTTGCCGTATAGTTATATGATAGTTCGGCAAAAGCCAGAACAAACTTTTATATTTCGAATACTACTTGCAATGAATTTAGATTTCCATTTGCAAACATAAAACCTTGAAGTAAATCTTCAAAATCATTTCAGGCGCTAAACAAATTAATATTATACAATAACGATTGATAAAAAGATCTAAGATCGTTTTCCTAAAACTCTGCAGTATTATAAAAAACATGTTTGAAGAATATTTATTGGAAAATAAAAATAAAAATTAGTAGCATGACAATAAATGGTTAGTAATCATAAATCATCCTGTTGTTCCAGCTTCATCACCTAAAACATAACAGCAATCATAAACCCACTAATATCATCAAAACACTAAATCTTTCCTTTACACAAATTTAAAACTTTATTAAAATTTAAAGTAACTTAATTTAAAATCAGATCATCAAGGCTTATCCTTGGATCTTAAATCATTTTCTACTTAATTAAATTTTAAATTTGATCATCAAGGCTTATCCTTGGATCAAACAGAACAACTTTGTTCTCCCCCACCCACTTAATTAGTGTCTAACGACCTCAAACGTCGATTCACTACCCAACCCTTTCTAAAAACCCAAGACTAATAGAAATTTTTAAACAAAACTAATCATTCAAATTAGGATAAACAGTGAAGAACTTCGGTTATTCATCCTTCACTTGACCCCTCCTCTTACCAGACCCAGGATAAATCTTAGACTTAGTAAGTTTAAAATAGTATCTAACGAACTACTCGCGTTCTAATTATACCTGAACCTTGTGGATCGATTTACTATTCTCCAACCCTTGAACACAATCACTACCCCTAAGTAAGATTAAGTAAGTTAACACCTTAGCTTATACTAGTCACGAGAAAGTAAAAATCATTCTTCGGAATCGATATACTTTTCTCTCCAACCCTGAACAATTAGACCCAGGTTAAGCTAACCAAAAAATCGTAAGAACTAACAGTTTAAGTCAACAGAAATCATTTAACAACCTTTTGCATCCGTCATTCTAAACCTTATGTCATTTAAAAACCTAGGAAATAAACAAACAATCATTTTACACAATTGTGAAATAGATAACAAAAAATACGACCTTGTAATCACACCTCATACACAAACAGTTGGATACATTCGAACAAAACGACAAACACTAAAGAGAAAAATAATAACTAAACAAAGACAAATAACACGAAAAAGATTTTCAAAAAATCGAAACGCATTTTCAGAATCAGAAACCAACAGTTTAGACGAACTTTACAAATTAAAAGAATCAATAGATAAAAATTACCCACAACACGATCAATTATATTTTTCTGACTCAGAAACAACTTCAAATTCATCACAAAGAGGAAAAAGAAGAATAAAAAAGCAGTATAAACACAAACCAGTACATCTATACAATTGGAATCAACCAATTCGACACATTAATAATTACATATTAACAGTCATCGAACGAAAAAATGAGTTCAACGCACACCCCAGGTGACGAAACTCCAGATGATGATGAAATCTTTCCTTTTATAGTAGATGCAGATACTGATAGAGGACAACACATATTTTGTCAAAATTTACTCGTAAATTTATTTGAACCCGGAATCAGTCCATGTAAAACAGAGTTCCCCGATGTAAAAATCAAAAGACAAATCATAGATCACTATCTAAAAGATATATGCAACATAACACAACAGTATGGAATCTACTCTATAGAATTCACTTCCCCAAACCATAATAATAGAACATATACTATTCAAACAGACGACCTTGATTTAGAATTTTCAAAAGTTTTTTCAGAATATATAAAAAGCATCCAATACCATAACTCACAAAGAGCAAACTCCATTTTCACCAATGAAGTTTTCGCACTAATATATAGTTATATTTCGATATTAGAAAATGAACTCCCATTAACAAATGTCTCACCGACAGAAACATCTAAACATTTAAGAGTACGACATGAAATCACACTACTCTCTAGTTATTTAAACATTATTAAAGAAAATTTCACGAAAGACGACGTTTCACAACATACCAAACACGATTTACAAAAAATTTTAGCATGGTTCATAATAGATTATTTCACACACAATATTGATTTAATTGCACAAGCAAGAAAAAATTTTAGACCCCAAAATTCGAACGATGATACCGCTATCACAGAACAATCAGATTATGTTTGGGACCCCGAATGGTCTCATCCAGCATTTATAAGCTTCCCACAATCAATCTCAAGTCAAGCAATAAGTACAATATCTTACATAAGAGATTATGTAAGAGTAATACCATTAACAATTGATGCAACACCATTAAACTATAATACATTTTTACCCGATACACAAAATAATAGTTTAAACTCTACAGTCATACACAATGAAAACCTCAATGGAACTAGGAATCTTACTCAACAAGATATCCAGACACCATCACACTTCATAAATGAAGAAATTGTACACACAACAACTACACAACAAAGTATTTCACCAATACGCCCAAATTTAACAACACCAAGAAATACAAATCCTTCACAAACACAGGTAACCTTACAATCAACCGTTAAACCTTCGGTTGCCCCTAAATATTCACATATGGATTACCAAACATACAAACCCATGACAATACCATCAAAAACACGCAAAACATTCACTAGAAACAACTTTGCAGACCATAATTATAACTATACACATCCTTCAAAAACAAATTATCAACCACAAAGAAATTTTAATCAATATACAAAACCTCGAAACTGGGATAACCCAACGGCCCAATATAATTCCACAAATTTTCAACCAAATCCTCCACAGGATCGCAGTGGAAATTACCCATTTTTTCAACAAAATAAAAATAAAAAACAAACATCTTATCAAATGGATTATTTATCCTCAGATGAAGATTTCTTACAACCAGATATATTTGCACCAAATACTCAAGAATATCGTAGACAAGGAATACAGAAAACACGTACAAATTATAGAAATTTTTCTCCACAACCAATAGATGCACAACATCAACAACCAATTCAACAACAAAACCCAATTAATACACAATCTTTTCAACCAATTCAACAACAAAATCCAATGACTGCACACTCGTATCAAGCATCACAAATGCAAAATGAAATACCACTCCCATATTATCTTCAACAACATGAAATAACAAGAAACCAACTTTCAAATTTTTCTCAAATGCCAAATGCAGCAGAATCATTACAAATGACAATGAATCCATACCTAATGGGTGGATCATCAATAACATCAAACAAACCCTTAATGGTTTTCACAGGAACAGACCCTGAATACTCCGTAGAAGATTACTTAAATGCAGTAACAGCAAATTTGATTTTAAATATAGGACCTGAACCAATTAATACGCCACTACATCAAAACTGGATACATCGACGCACAGCGTTGATACAAACAACCTTAGATGGCGCAGCCCAAAAATGGTTTTCAGTACTACCTCAAGAAATAAAATCAAACTGGAAAAGATTTACACAAGAATTTTCAAAAATGTTTGACTCCGAAAGAAACAAACAACAACAAAGAGTTTTATGTAATGAAATTCGCAGATTACCAAACGAAACCATCAAACAAATAGCAGTAAGAATCGAAACACTAGTTCGAAAAGCATATTCACTAAATACACACGACTATAAAAACACTAAGATGACAGAAATCTTAATGATGACCTTAACACCACAATTAAGGAAAATAGCAATAAAAAAGAGAGCATCCCATCCTTCTTCAATTCGAGAACCCGATTTAGATTTTAGAAAACTAGTAGACAAACTAGAACAAGCAGAAATCACGATGAAACTAGAAGAAACGGAGAACTTGAAATTACAATACGTTAACAAAATTGAAACGACTCCCA